CGCCGGGAGGCAGAGGCGGAGCCTGGGGGGGCGGCCGGGAGGGCTCCGGGGGTCCGGGCTTCGTCCCGGCGGGCGGTGGGTCGCCTTGCGATGGTGCAAAGCCGCTGGGGAAAAGCTTGCCGGGGTGCTGAGTTAAAAGGAGTGCTGGGTTTGGGGGGGGGGGGTGGAAATGCCGTGTGATGTCCTGAGTGGTGAGAAACGTAGCGGTCGTGGGGTTTGGGGTGGGTTCGTTTGGGGTTTTTTTTGAATCTATGAACGGCAGAATGTTAGAACTCCAATTTTGTGGCTAGGCTGCATTGACGACCGGTTGTTTGATGCAGTCAAAAAAAAAAAGGAAGAAGTGAGAAGATGGGATGTCCCGCAACACTCTTTCAGTGATGCTCTGCCACAGGCTGCTGTGAATTTTGCCAACTAAATACGTTCATGCCGGGTAATTTACCCAGGCCCCCGATACGGTCAATGGGGGCTGTAATTTGCAGTTTACAGCATACTTTCTCTCTCTGTTGGCATTGTCAGAAACTGGGGGAAGCAAATTGGGGCTCCCAAATGCTAAAGCTGTGTAGGTTAAATGTCTGTTTGCAGATGCTGTAACTAGCTGGAGTGTTTGTTTCCTACTCAATGAAACACTCTCAGAGGACTTCCTAGTTTCACAACTAGCACTTTGCGTTTCAGTTGGCTAAGTAAAAGAACATCCTATTAAAATACCTGTGGTCAGGCAACAGACACAAACTTCTACAAGCCGAGACAGAAAAGGTCTGTTTGCAAATGCTCGCACTTTCTCTTCGGTGTACTATTGTACAGCAGACAGGGGATTGCTCGGAATCATGACTTTCATTGTCTGGCTCTTCTGGGTCTTCCTTCACAAGTGATTGCAGGTCATGCCTGCAGGCAATGCCCTGTTTTGATACTCTCTTACCTTTTATTGCCATGTGTGTTTTATTTTACTTCTTAATGGAGGGTGTATTATAAGGGCCTTTCGGTATCCACTCCTACAGCTCTGAACCTGGTGCCCTGCATTTATACTTAATACTGTCATTTATGGCGAAGGAGTCAGATTTAGTTCCCTTACGGACTTCCTGAGGGGACTAAGAATGCGCACAAAGAGTGCAGTGAGCGGAGATCCCTGATTGTTAGTTGACTGCACTACTCCGTGTTCCTGCTGCCTTAAGTTAACTTTTGCCCTCGGTGTAGCAAAGCCATCCACTGGCATCCTTCTCCCTTCTTGACAAATGTAGGAAACCTGAGAAAATTTTTGTTTTCAGTTATCGGTGTTACTTTGATATCTGGATCCAGGACCATCTGAGCAAGGGATTGTGTACGTGACAAAGTAGTCCCTCATCTGAACAGCTCGGTTATCAGCAGACAAAGTAAATGCTATTGGAACCCTTTCTCTTTAGTATTACTGCTTTTTATTCCTTGTATTTTACTTAGTAATGATTTATTCTGATCATACAGGTTACCCTTTCCCTACTGCTCCTCCTGTGGATCCATTCGCAAAAATAAGAGTGGATGACTGTGGAAAAACCAAGGGATGCTTCAGGTCAGTCTGAGATAAGAGCACAGATACCTTTATGTTTGCAAATGCTGACTGATTATATTGGAGACTATATTCATTGTAATAAATGTTCATTATTTAAGAACATACTTTGTAGTTATGGACTATACTATTTGAGGAAACTAGATTATTTAAGGATATACATCATAGTTCTGGACCTACAGCTATTTCATGATTCTTGTATTTTCATGAAGCACTTTTACAAAAGCAGGGCTAGGAAGGTCAAGAGAGTAACACTGTGTGTAATTAATTGCTTGCCGTACTGTTTAAATGCTATACATTCTTACACTGAAAGAGTAATAATTGCTAACACTTAATTAGTGGTACTTTGTGTATAGCATATTATATTATGTTTTACTGCCATTATACCAAAATGCGTTCTTTTAGTTTTTTTCTTGCAGAAACGTAATGAAGTTCCATAGCAGGAAATTGTGAGGAAAAGTTACATGTATTCCAATTCCATTTAGGTACGGTAAACCTGGATGCAATGCAGAGACTTGTGACTACTTTCTAAGTTACCGTAGAATAGGAGCCGATGTTGAATTTGAGTTGAGTGCCGATACTGATGGCTGGGTGGCAGTGGGATTCTCCTCAGACAAGAAAATGGTAAGACATGTACAGTTCCTCATGTTGACAGTATGCACACTTTTACAGGCTAGGATATGAATCGTTTATATTTGTTCTGTCAGAAACAGAGCATATAAGGAGAAACTGACTTGCTGAAAACACAGCACCATTCGGTAGCCACCTTGGAGGCAGAAGCCAGGCCCGCTGCCTCCCAGAAAAACTGCCTCATCCTTCCTAACAAGTCCTTTCCCTTCCTCTCTGAGCATTAAAACAGTATTTTGGTTCAGCTCTGAATGTCTGAACGTTACCAGCTTTTTGCCCTCAGGGATAAGCCAATTCACATGGAAATGTCCTGTTGTGCTTTATGTCAGTGTTACTTGGCCAAAAGGCACATCAGAAACTAAATAGCAAATAATTTTATTCTTCAGTAAATCAGCTGACTTTCAGTGATATAAATATGTCTTTCATGGTTAAACTTTGGAAATCTTTTTGTTTCTTTCATACTCGTGTGCTGTTCCAGGGAAGCCACAAATGTGTGACAAAATGACTCCTGCTATTTTAAACATACATACTCTAGCAAGCAGTATTGTTAAAATTTCTTCTTCTCTCTCTCCTGGATTTTATTGGGTTTGGTTTAATGCTTATCCCTGTACTTACTTTCTCATTCAAAAGCTTCACTTTTCATTGTGTTTCAATAAGCAAAACAGGAGCATGTACTCTGCGAAGTTTAAAAAAACCTGAGCAATAGACGACTTTTATGCAAAGATGTTTTGTCTGTGGTCCTTGATAAAATGTTTAGGATTAAAATGCAGTTCATAATGTAGGTATTCGTATACAGAAACACGCCTGAGTATATAAAACAATACTGAGCCTATGTCCTAATCACAAGCCAGAGGACAGGACTCTTTCTTGTACAGCTGTAAGCAGTAGCCTGAAAAAAAATACAGAATTTAGATGTCCTGGGCTAGGACCCACAAAAATGAACAGAAAGACTCACACTGACCCAACAATGTTTTTATCAGACCCAAAATGAGAAATAGAAAGAAAATGTGAGGGCAGGTGCTTTTCAGTCATTACTATATATGTTTTAATATGACACTGTAAATAAACACAATAAAGGTAGAAGCCTTTGTGTCCTAAAGAACAGCTCACATCACAAGAAACAGTTCATCTTTTTAATGTTGTGAGGAACAGTTTTACAGCCAGATTTTGGGCAGAGTTTAGATGCCTAGAAATGCATGTACTCAGCGGGATTTTCAAAGCAGATCAGCACCATTTAAGTATTTGGCCCCAAGCTATCAAAGATCATGGTACCAGTTTGTAACTCTGATATACTGGCAGTAGGTCCCAGGGTCCCACTGCCTGCAATTCATCAGCCACTTGGAAACCAGGCGTTACCTTTCATCCCAGGCACACCAAGCAGCATGTTAAGTCTCAGCTTCTGGTAAGAAGAATAAAGTAAGTGTAAAGTAAAAGGATTCGCTTCCAAATTTGCTGTGTAGGTGATCTAATGCCCATCAGTCAGCTGGACTAAACCAGCTAGCATCTGTCTTCCTCTCTTGTTCTCCTGCTGACTTCATCCTTTTTCTTAACTTCCAAGATGTTTTGGTGTCCTGGGATGTGCAGGCTCTAACGGTAAAATGGCTCCAGGTCAAAACAGCTTAGCTGTGAGAAGCGGGCTGTGCTTTGGAGGCCCTAATCAAAATGGTGTGGCCTGGATAGCTACAGAAGTTCAGGAGAAAAAAAACTATTTTGTGTCCTCAATAGATTTTTTTTTTTAACTCCTGTGACCTATTTCTTTGTCTCGAATAACATGCTTTTCCACTTGCAGGCTTTTGTGCCTAGGCAGGATTTGGTAATGTCATTCTGTTAATTGAGATTCAGAATGCTTTTTTTCTTTCCTTTTAATTTTTTTCTATGAGAAAACAGCTTTATTTTTGCCTCTTTGTACTTAAGAATGAGGGATTTGTGCTCAGATGTATAAAAGTTAAACTTGGAAAATAAGTCATGGAGAGCAAGGATAGGCTCAAGACAGAAGCTGGAAAGGTTGCCTGCAGCAGCACCGAGGTGCAGAAACTGTTCAAGCATGTGTTTTTACCTAGTTGTCCCCTTTTTCCCACACTTCTGGCACATCTTTTACAAATCCACATAGCAATGTTCCTGGAGAGCTGAAATGCACCCTTTTTCTCTCCTTTCCCTATAATAAAGAACTGAGAGATGATCGTGCTAGCAAGCATCACGTCTATCATCAGCACGACATATCAGAAAGATTAGTATTGGAGAAGTGGGGCCTGTATTTAATATGGCTCTGTGTTTCATACCACCTGTGGCAGTGGTGTTCAGTAAAATGCCATTCATCCAATTTGCACAGCATTTTAATGGTTCTTGATACTAAAGCTTCTATGAGATAGTACTCCTAAAATTAATGCTAATCCCTGAGTGATGCAGTGCTCTACCACTTTGGCAGTGACCTGGAGGAATAGTTCTAGCACCTGCTTTAATATTTCTACAAATGACCTCTACAAGCAGTTGTCTCACACTTCCTTCTGTCCGTTGTTTCTTTGCTTGATTGGAATGCTTGGCAGCTGTTTATGCTGTGTGAAGCAGCACATACTGATTACTTTTTTTCCTTGTATCTTACGGTGTTCTGTATTCTCTTACTACACGCTGAACAGTTTTAATTTTCTCTTAAGAGATACAAGAAGTGGTGTTCCCTTAAGTGAACGTGAGAAGAGATAGAAAAGACAGACTGCAATTTATGCTATTATTTTCCCGTATTTAGTAGATTCATCTCCTCTATTTTACTAAATTATATTGGTTTTCTGTCCATGATTTGATGCAGTGGGTTTTGTACACATCAGGGATTCAAGACTGCCAGTTTTTATGAAGCAGTGTCCCAGAACTTCACAAATTACAAAAGAAAACAGCCTTCCACTGATCAATTAATTATGTGATGTCAGGGTGATATCATGTCTTACAAATATGTTATATCTGTTAGGTAAAATAACTCTTGGAAAGATCCAAAAGGGAATTCAGAGTTAGTAAGGGTAAGTAAATATTACTATCCACTTTGTGCTTTTCAATCTGATTGAAGACACATGGTTAGGGGAACAAATATTTGTGTATATATAACTTTGAAAGAAGGAATGAGAGCCTGAGGTCTTGATTAGTTTTTAATAATTAAAATTATATACCTAAATGAGGAAATGCTTTGTGACACTTTTGTTTTTCTTCTACCAATATGCTTTTACGGTGTAGGGAGGAGATGATGTCATGGCTTGTGTTCATGATGATAACGGAAGAGTCCGAATACAGCACTTCTATAATGTCGGTCAGTGGGCTAAAGAAATCCAGAGAAATCCTGCTAGAGATGAAGAAGGGGTTTTTGAAAACAATCGTGTAACATGTCGATTCAAGCGTCCTGTATATGTTCCCCGAGAGGAAACCATCGTAGATCTGCACTTGAGTTGGTACTATCTGTTTGCTTGGGGTCCAGCAATTCAGGGTAAGTTGATTTCTGTGTTACTGACAGAACTGAGGTGCCAAAATGGATAAATGTCTTTCAATTACATTAGTCTTACTAGAGCCCCCTTTTTTTCTAATGAACTAAAATTCTGTCAGTGTGAGGCTTAAAAACAGATAAAAAGGAAGACAAGCTAAATAACAGAGTCCTGTATGTCTTGTTTTCTCAGCTACATCGTTTTTACTCCCACTCCCCAAAGCTGAATTTAGAAGAACTTCATAACTAGAAGTTCTGATTTCCTTTGAAGGATGTTTATTGTTTACTTGAATTTCATTTTTCTTATTTGGAAGTTTAATTTCAGAAAGCAGAGAAATCACCTTACTCACTGACAGTGTAATATTACATGCTCCTGTAGGTTTGAAAATTACTCAGCTGTCTACCTGTTTCTTTGGTAGACTTATAGAAAAAAATGCATCTGACGTTATTTCTTTCTGCCCTTACCTGTTAAAGGTTCTATAACTCGTCATGATATAGACTCACCACCCGTATCAGAGCGTGTTGTCAGTATTTACAAGTATGAAGATATTTTCATGCCATCGGCTGCCTATCAAACCTTCTCTTCTCCATTCTGCTTACTCCTCATTGTTGCACTGACCTTCTATTTATTGATGGGAACCCCATGACCGATGGAAGATAGCAAGAATTTGTCAGTGGAAGTTTCTCAGGATGGACGGCTATATGGATGGACGATGCGTTTTTCTATTGGAATTTATATCACACCACCATCCTCATCTAGCTGCTTTTGAACATAGTTAGCTTCTCAGGAGAATGAAATAACCATCTCCTTTGAGTGGTAGAGTGGTGACAAATCATTTAAGAATAATCACTGAACACATAGGAGAATATTTTCAGTGTTGTGACTACTTGCTTAAAGAAAAGGAGACTTTTGTAAAATCAATGTGTGTGCGTGTGTGTGTGTTTGGGAGGGGTGTCTGTCAGTATGTGTGTTTAGGCGAATTTAGTGATGGACACCTTATCAAATAACAAAATTGCCTTCCAAATTGCTCCCAAAAAGCAAATTTGGGAAAACATTATAATGCTGTTTGGTACTTCTGGAGCAGACAGCACAACTCCAAGTGCAGTTTCTGAACTTAAGATCCGGATACCGACACAGCAGTATAAAACCTGCCCTTCAGTAATGGACAGTTCTCCCTAATTATTTTTTTTTTATATTTCTCAAGGTTTACTTGCTCTGGTACTTTCCAAAACTAAACTTGCATAATCAAGCATTAATGTCGGTTGTTTGGTTTTTTTTCAATGGAAAAGAGGTGATGAATGTCTTTCTTTATAATAGTAGAGTTTCAACAACCTTCTTGAAAGAAATGGCTATTTCTTTTATGAGTGAGATATCAAGTTATTTAAACAAGGGGAGGGGAGAATACAGTAATGTAAATTCTCCATACATAGGAAAAACAAGCGTAAAACATACAGAATATAGAAGTTCCAACAAGCCATAGGACGTCCTCCCAATAGATTAAATCAATTCTTCTCTTTTTATGAAAAAACCAGTAATTTTGGTGACATGTAAATACATTTTTAAGCAGTTGTGTAGTAGTATGAAGTAGTCTGTTTTTCTGTGTTGTATGCCTGTATATCCTGTTCATGTTAAAGGTGAATATGGGCAGCTGGTGTTAACTTACAAAGACATGGAAATATAATTGAGATTATTTGTAAGGAAAGATAGGGATCAATAAGCAGAGCAGTATCTTTAGTTTCATCAAACCACTGCTAAAATGTAGTTACTGTGGAAAAAGATGAGCTAAAGAGGAAATACACTAGATTGTTTTTATCACCAAAAATACTACAAAGCTAAATATCACAGAAATGGAAAGTGTCAAAATGTATTTATGAGCCACAGAATATTACGAAAAACTGAGTTCTTGTGGACAATTTCTGTTCTTCGCGTAATAGGAAGTGTATGACACATGGCTACATGGAGCAGTCAAATGTGCTTAGATAAGGTTGCTCATTCACTTCCCAACTTGCATTAAAATTCCATTTGAATGGAATTAAAATTTAAATTGTGCCAAAGTTCTATCTAATGCGGTATGCTTGAGGACTCTGTAACATAGGATCTGGTAACGTATGTGATGGACCTCCTTTCTGTTCTTGTTGCTGCACAGAGCGTAAAAAGATTAACTAGCTTTGCTGGGTTTGCATCGTTATTCACAGACTGAAGTTTGTAGACTAATTTTTCATAGGCTTGGCATTCTTCAAACCTGTGCTTAAAGTATATGAATTATGAAATATATGAATGAAATATGAATATATGAAAATGAATCTGAACGTTCCATCGCAAACACTTTATCCCTGTTTCAAAAGAAAGATTGTGTAGTAATATATATTTTCATTGATGTCTTTAAGGATTCGTTCACTTAAAGTTACTGGACTAGAGTTCAGGACGTGGGGGGAAGAGAAATTCAGAATGAAGTGAACTTTAAAAGTGCATATAGTAGCTTTATTTCCTATAAATTATTTCTCTCAAGTTGGATAGCCTACTCATCATCTGATGAAATATATAGTGGAGACCACCCAATAAGGAAGATCTGCTTTGGTCCACCATGGCTGTAAAATTTAGTTTTAAGATTGGCTGAAGCAGATGGCTGAAGCCTGGATAATGAGTTTTATATTCAGCAACCAGGTGAAGTGAAGAAATCATTAGGGCAAATTCCTTCTCCTTTGTGCTAATTTGTAGGCAACTGAGATAGTGCAGTTCCTTCCCAGAGATCACAGCTATTTAAAGTAGCCTCAGGGTTGCTTTAGTTTATGGCCTTGTATTTACTATTTTAGTTTCAGGCATTTACCTGATTACCCACTAAAGGGCTAACCTAATAGTTGAAAGGTACTGAAGTAGGATAGAAACCCATTTTGGGTCCTCTTTTCTTCTTTAATACAGTGCTGGGTTTAGGATAGGCTGGCTGGACCGGAGCACAGAGGTACGTTAAAGACAACTAATAATACCAAGGCAAATGTGCAACACCCATAGAGCTGCTTCCCACTTACACGGAGTCTGACATGTTTAAAGTTCAGGCTCTACAGCAAATTCAGAGCAGAGGCACAGCTGCTTAAGGCTATGTCTGCTGCAAAGTACAAACTGCTTCAGTCTTCAGCTGTACCCATGTTCTCAATTAGGGTAAAAAAAGTACTTTTTTTCTTCCTTTTTCAGTTTACTTGTCAGTGTGCTGTATAGTGTTTTTGTCACTGTATTTTTCTCTTGTTGAAGTATTAGCAGAAACATTCACTTCTATTAAAAATTTCACCCAAGCTTCTAAGTACTTAATTAGCACTAATTAAGTATTTCTAATCAAAGGGGTGGAAATAAAAGGCCGCAAGAAGCAGCAAAACAACCTATTTCAACTGAGGGTTGAGTTTAGTACAGAGTTTGTCTGAGAGTTGCTCTTCAGAGTGGGAAAAGCAGGAATATGAGATTCAAGTTGACAAACAAAGAAGGTACAAGTGTTTAGAAATTACTAGTTATGAAGAAATATGAGAAGAAAAAGACTATTAGAGAAATGAAAAGGCTTTACCTCTGTGGTGTTTAACTTTGTATAATACTTGGCAAGTCTTAACATTTGAGTGTAGTAACTTGTCATGGAAGGCATTTTGGTTTTCGTTTGGTTTGGTTTTTTTAATGTTGAAAAGCAGGATTGATCCCTGTTACATGAAGTTACTACAAAGTAACTTTCTTCAAAGTAAATTTTAAGCGATTATGGCATTTCAAATAGTTTTTGGATTTTTCTAATTAACAGGTACCAACACAAAGTAGAGGAAAAGGTCTCCTTTGGAAAAGGAGGCAGACACTTCTTTCTCCAAATCAAATTATTCTTAGTTTCTTTATGGTGACTACTAGCAAGCAGCTGTTAAAGAATACCTTTCCAAAGTGCTTTTATTTTGAGAATTACCCGCTGCAGGATGACCTAATACAGAGGCACAGAGTTTAGAAAGTGCATGTTTAGAGTATGGCTTCCTTTGGAAACTCAAGTCTGATTATTAGTTAGGAAGATAGGACTGACAAAGACTATAACGCATTAATTAACATGCTTGAATATGTTCTTTCCGTGCAGAACAAAAGTCACTTGTGACCATTGCTTGTTACGTTAACCATGTTATCACCCTCTGCTCGCTCTGTCCGTCTTATCTAGAATGTTTTATACCTAAATTTTATAAGTTAGTTGGAAGAGAAATCAGCTGCTTATATTTGTGACAGTGCCTATCGCAAAGGGACCTTTTTTTTTGACTGTAGTGTCTGACTGCTACCCTGCTACAAATAATAAGCTAGGCCTGAAATGTCATTGATAATAAGTAGGATAGGAAAGAGAGAAAGATAAGTGGAGAGGACAGACTTTCAGAAAGTAATTTTTTTTTTCGCTGGAATCAAATAACTATTTTTATGTATATGTGAGATACTTTTAAATGCTAATTGATTCCTCCCCCAAAAAGCCTAGCTGATTTGATAATGTCATTGGATACAGGGTGATGCTTTCTTCAGAATTCTATTATTATAAGGGAAATACTCTGGTTTTGAAAAAGAACATATTGATGAGAAAAAATTGAAATCCCTCTGTGGCCTTCTTGTCCTTCTTGATTGGTTCTGCAATACTTGGATAGCAAGAAAATAAACACTTGTGGCCTCCCTAATCTGAGGAACCCCCACATTGCGTTAAAAGTTGTCAAAGCTGTGTTTGGCACTGATTTTTCCAGTCTTCAACGTAGGGATTAAGAGAATGACTGGAGCATGGTGTACATCACCAAATCCCTGAAATATGTATATCTTCTTTTGCCAAACTGTGGATGGTGTTCTTACTGTGAGTGTTTTATGTCTAGTCTTCCTCAGAAAAGTACCATGCTCCTTGTCAGTAGCCTATGTCCTGTCGCTGTTTCCACAGATGCCTTATGCTATTTAGGGAGGTGATCCTGAGAAGTCTTAGCCCAGCTGTGAAGAGGAGTTAGTGGGTAAGGAGGACTGACACATAGCTGTCTTCATGATTATCCGGGTTAGAAATCTGTGTCATTGATGATACTCCAGTTATCTGTAAGTAAATGACTGCTATAAGTTTAAGGGAAGATACAGGTCTGCCTATCTTTTTTGCCTGTCTTCTCCTTACTTTCCCATCCATCCAGTGCATCAGACGTTTATAAAGAAGGAAATTATTCTCCTTTTAGGGAATAGACCTTCTGTCTGGTCTTTCTGATCCCTTCAGTGTCCACTGGAAGTTTGCACCATGCTATACTCTAGAAGCAGAATTAAAGCTTGTAAACAAACTTCATAACTTTTATCAGCATTTAAATTGCATTTTGTGACTTCTTGGTTTGACAGAAAGATGTGTAGCAGGTGTACTTCCCCCACCTTTTTTTTTTTTTTTTTTTTTTTTTAAAACATCTTCAGATATTTCCTCAAAGAGAAGTATTTGGTAATAGCTTTAGGAGAAGGAAACGTGTATTTCACAGAATTACAAAAGGGTCTACAATCACTTATTTTCAGAGGTATCTGTTGTGAGAGTCCTAGTATTTTATACAAAGTATAACTTCATATAGAGCCTTAGATTTATGATAGAAGTGGAAACACATTTAAATATTATGGTTGTTTCAGTGCTTCATGGAGCTGTGTACATGCATAACCTGCATGAATTGGCATCCTCTGTTTCAACTCTGACTCCACGGTGTGTAATGAACGGGCAAAGCAGTCTGCTTGGATGCTACGCAGTGAGGCATTGGTGACCTCAAACAGTTTGGGATAGAAGAGTGGAGAGACTGGTAATAAGGCTGAAGGACAAGGAATGACTAATGGTTTTGGCATACTTCCTATTTTTGCACGAGTTTACATGGGGCAGAACACGTCTGGCGCTTTTCATCACAAGCAAATATGATTTGATGTGAATAGAAGGAACAGAGTCTGACTTTAATGAGAATTTAGCTTTTATGCAGGTCTTAGCTGCGTAAGGGCTCACGTGAGCACAAGGTCAGACTGTGCCTCGAGATGTGTACTCCCATGAAACTCCAAGGTAAGAGCTAGAGGCTTGATCTTTCCTTTGGAGGTACGAAAACCTGCCAAGACCCTCTAGATAGTAATGACAGTTGGCTGCTGCATGCGTACCTGCTCACTGGCCATTTTACAGACTACTGCCGCAGCAGTTG